CCTCCGTGGAGAAGATGGCGCCCCCCCCGCGTCGGCCGCCCAGCCCGTGGCGGTGAGGGTGTCGGGGGGGTTGTTGAAGTCCGCCTGGGGGACCCACGGGATGTCGTAGGTCCTCACCAGCTCCCCGATGGCGTCCAGGATGGACAGGTTGCGCAGCGTCCAACCCTCGGCAACCCAAAAGTAGGCGCTGAGGACCATGATGCCGCCTCGCAGGAAGCCAGGGGTCCAGGCCGCAGCCAGACGCCCTGGCGAGCCAGGCGGCGAGAAGTCAAAACTGGTGCCCCCCTCCAGGTAGGTGAGGCCGGTGCACCGCGGGGCGGCGATGCCCACTCCCGCGACTCGGCCTCCACCTGGCCCCACCGCGGCAGGGGCGAGGGCCACGGTGAGGTGCCTCTGGAAGCAGCTGGCGCTGATCTCGTTGGCGAAGTCGCTGGTGAGGCGGTGCTCCTGGACGAACATGACGGTGCTCCTGCCCAAAGGCATCTCGTCCAAGTGGTCGACGAGGGTACTCCAGGCGTTTGCGTTGAGACCTCTGAGCACCATGCCAGGCTTGGCTTGCCGCCCCTTGCCCCGCGCTCGGGAGGCCGCCCCCGCACCTGAATCTGCGATTCGATGGCTGGGTGGGCCCGTGGGGCCCAGCGTCGGCCACCCATCCGTGGATGGTGTCGGAGCGGCAGCACCTGGGGGGAGAGGCATCGGCCACCCGCGCTCCTGCGGCTCTCCCCCGCCGTGCTCATCCCCGAGTGCGTCAGCCACCCACCTGTCAGTGAACTCGGTGAGAGGGATCGCATGGGGGGGAGGATCGGCCACCCGCGCGTCCGCGCCTCCCCTCGCATGCTTTGCTGGGGCAGCAGGCCAGCCGTCCTCTCCCCAGCTCAGGTGCGTCGGCCACCCATCCGTCGATGGACCTGAGCTGGGGGCGCTCGTGGGGGGAGGCATCGGCCACCCGCGCGCCTGCGGCTCTCCACTCCACGAGCTCATCTCCGAGTGCGTCGACCACCCACTTGTCGGTGGACTCGGAGAGAGGGGCGCATGAGGAGAGGCATCGGCCACCCGCGCATCCGCGGCTCTCCACTCATGCGTCGCTGGCCTCCAGTATCCCTCTCCACAGCTCGGGTACGTCGGCCACCCCTCCGTCGAGGGGCCCGAGCCAAGGGCGCTCGTGGGGAGGGGCGTCGGCCACCCGCACGTCTGCGGCCCTCCATCGCACGAGCTCATCGCCGAGGGCGTCGACCACCCACCTGTCGGTGGCCTCGGCAAGAGGGGCGCATGGGGAGAGGCATCGGCCACCCGCGCATCCGCGGCTCTCCACCCGTGCGTCACTGGATCCCTTTCCGCGGCCTCCGACCCCGAGCTCGAGGCCGAGCGGGGCACTGGCCGTCGGAGCCACGGCGGATGCTGCTGGCAGCGGAGCATAGCACCCCCCCTGAGCGCTCGCCGCGTCCCGGTGTCCGAGGGGGAGCTGTTGTCGTTCCCGTCTTGGATGTCCGCGCCGCCCTCGATCGCTGGCACGTGGACGCTGTTGCCGATGATGAAGGCGACCTGGCGTCGCCCTGATTGCGTCGAGCTGCGCGCCCCGCGGAGCGCCGACCTTGTCGGCTGGCGCTCGGACGGAGGTGGCGCCCTCCATGTAGGGGTAGTACTCGTAGAAGTCGTGCCCGCCGTGCTCGGGCCTCCACCGCCGCGTGCGCCAGCCCTGCGCCGTCCACGGCGCGCGCGCTGTCGCCGCCGTCGCCAGCTCTGAGGAGCTGGGCCCTCAGGCCTGGGCTGTGTCTCCGTCGGCACCTGGAGGGCTGGCGGCCACCCGCTGCAGGATCCTGGCACGGGCGTCTGCGTCCAACTTGGCGCCCCCGCCAGGTGGGGCGCCTGCGGGGGGAGTGGCGCCTGCAGCGCCGCCGCCGCTGGCTGCAGCAGCGTCGCCAGCGCCGCCGGCGTCAGGAGTGGTAGGCGCGGGCCTCCCCCCTGCGGGGGCGGCGGCGGGGTGGGGGGCCGCAGCCTGGCCCTCGGCGGGCCCGCTCCCTTTGCCTGCCCCGTGGCCGCCAAGGTCGCGGGGCCGAAGGTGGCCTGCGGAGGTCGGCTCTCGGACCGAGCCCTTTTGTGCTTGATCCTGTCACTGAAGGCCTTGAGATCTGCCCGCGTTGCGGCGAGCCCCTCCGCTGCTGGGCCGAAGTGGCGCTTGGCCTCCGTCTGGGCCTGCTTGACGAAGTTGCCCACCTGCTCCTCGAACTGCCGCTGCTCCTCTGGCGCGATGTCGAACCCCTCCAACTCGAAGGCCTTGCCGGGCCGCACGGTGAGGAGGGGCGCATCTCCCTCGATCAGCTGGGAGAGGTCGAGGGCTGGGGTCGCGGTCTCCGCTGTCGGCTGTGGCGGAGCGGCCTCCGCCGCGGCGGCTGATCGCTTGGGGGCCGCCCTGGCGTAGGCCTCCTGCGCCGCCGCGTCGGCCTCGGCGTCTCCTGCAGCTCTCGTTGGTCCTGCAGCCACTGCTCGGCCTCCTGGACGGCCTCGAGGGTCTTCTTGAGAGCCGCCTCAGCCCTTCGCAGCCGTGCCTGGGCCTGGTTGAGGGCGACGTCGGGGTGCACCTCCTGTGGCTGGGCTCGGGCGAGCGCCTCCAGGTGCCTGGCCGCCTCCGCGTCGCCGTCGGGGATGGTGGCCCGCAGCTGCTTGAGAGGCTCCTCCCTCGTGGGCTTGACCTTGGCCGCCCCCCTGCTGCGACGCCGCTCGCTGGCCCCGCCTGGCCCCCACTCACCCTGTGGAGCCCGCTCTTGAGAGGTAGATGGCTGCAGCCCTCTCTTGCACTTGTAGCACACTGTTTTGGTGGCCCAGTTCCATTTGTATCGACAGCTACGGCACTTCGCGTACTGGCTTCCAGTCTGCTGATCATCCTTCCCATTGCGCCCCATGCGCGGTGGGGAGGAACTGATCTCCTGCCCAACCAGTACAGTGACGGAGGCTCCGCGGAGCCCGTGGGTGAGTGGAAGCGCCTGCCTTACCCAGCAGGCCCCTGGAACGCGGGCCGAGCCTGCTGGGCAGGCCCTTGGTCTCTGAAACCACCTCGAGAAATGGTTTACTTGAGCCAAAGTGGCTACGGAGGAGGAGGAGGAGGAGGAGGAGGAGGAGGAGGAGGAGGAGCAGGAGCAGGAGCAGGAGCAGGAGCAAGAGGAGGAGGGGGAGGGGCAGGGGGAGGGGAGGAGGGGGAGGGGGAGGGGCAGGGGAGGAGCAGGAGGAGGAGGGGGAGGGGGAGCAGGAGGAGGAGGAGGAGGAGGAGGAGGAGGAGGAGGAGGAGAGGAGGAAGGAGGATGAGGATGATGATGATGATGATGATGATGATGATGATGATGATGATGATTGATGATGATGATGATGATGTGATGAGATGATGATTGATGATGATGATGATGATGATGATGATGATGATGATGATGATGATGATGATGATGATGATGATGATGATGATGATGATGATGATGATGATGATGATGATGATGATGATGATGCTGATGATGATGATGATGATGATGATGATGATGATGAGAAGGATAGTCATAGTAACCTTACTGTGCTTCTTGATAACCCTGAGAAGGGGAAACATGCAACTTAGACTAAGAAGTTGACGAATAATACTATGCATAAGAAGAATAAACACACTAATACACATTTGCATTCTACTATTATTCATGTGCAGAAAACATCAATACTACTACTAATAATATCAACGATACTACTAATGCTACGGCTACTAAGATTAGTACTAATACGCAGAAGAAGGCTAATAGTAGCACTACTAACAATGTGAAGAGGACTACTGAACATAATCAGAGTAATACCGAAACTAATAATGCCAATAATAAGGCGAATCATATTATAACCATACTAGTAATATGACAGCTATCACTAGTATGACGAATAATAATAATGATAATGCTAAGCCGAGTAATACTAGTAGTAAGGACATGTACAATACTAATAAGGGTGATCATAATACACAGAATAATAAGAGGGGGATGAGGCGGAGGAGGAGGAGGAGGAGGAGGAGGAGGAGGAGGAGGAGGAGGAGGAGGAGGAAGGGGAGGAAGGGGAGGAGAAGACAGCACGGCATAGATCTAGATTGTCGGAGGCCCGCACGATCCAAGAAGTCCGCGCGGACCTCCGACAGTTTATCTTGATACAGTTTTTTCCTCTTCTGGAGAAGGAACAGGGGAGGGGGCGGAAGTCCTCGTGCCCCCCCACGTTCCCCCGAGAAACTGGTGAAGAACTCCTCTGGGCAGTCCAGCCACCCTAGCGGCATTTGGGCGGCCTGCATCTACGGCGGCCTGGACAAGTCCCGGCCCCAGATACCCCTCGGGGAGCGGGACGAGGAGGGAGGAGGAGAAGGGCGACCAGAGTTAAGTAAGGATGTGCCAGCGATAGCTAGCTGGGGCTGGGGAGCTTACGTGGTTCAAGCCGCTGGCGGGGGGAATGGGGACCATTGAAAGAGCGCTTTATTCCGCTGCTGGCAAGGGGGGTAGGGTTCCTTACCAAACCAGGGAATCCCCCCGCCAGGAAAATGAGTGGGGGGGTCAGGACGTCTCCCTTTTCCGGGAAAAAGTAATGGGGGGATCCAGATTGCCCCCTCCCCCAGGGAAAATTAGTGGGGGGGTCTGGACCCCTCCCCCCAGGAAAACTTTGGAGGGTCTACACACACACCCCGACGATGACGACGACGACGACGACGACGACGACGACGACGACGACGACGACGACGACGACGGCGACGCGCGCCGCACGCCGCACGCCGCACTACGCACGACGCACAACGCACGACGCACAACGTGCGACGCCGACGACGACGCCGACGTCGACGTCCACGACGCCGATGTCGCCGCCGCCAACGCCAACGACGACGCCGACGCCGACGCCGACGGCGACGCCGCCGCCGCCGACGTCGGCGACGACGTCGACGACGACGCCGACGACGACGACGTCGACGACCGCGACGATGCCGACGACGACGACGACGCCTTCGACGACGACGGCGCCGACGAGGCCGACGTCGATGCAGACGACGCCGACGACGACGGCGCCGGTGACGACGCCGACGACGACGCCATCGTCGACGACGACGCCGACGCCTTCGCCGATGCCGACGCCGACGACGTCGATGACGGCGGCGACGCTCACGGCGTCAACGACGACGACGGCGACGACGATGACCACGTCGACGCACGACGCACGATGCACGACGCACGACGCACGGTGCACGACGACGCCGACGGCGACGACGGCGCCGACGACGACGACGACGACGGCGCTGACGCCGACGGCGACGGCGACGGCGACGCCGACGCCGACGCCGACGCAGTCGGTGCGTAGGGTGGCATGGTCCCCTGAAGCCTTCACCGTTATTTCAGGTTCCTCGGCCAGGAAAACCACGACCAACCCTGCCGAATCGAGCGGCATGCGCAATCGGACTGTACGAATACGACAAGCCCAGGGCGGGTGGACACAAGTTCCCATGGGGTTCACGGGCCACACGACCCCACCTCCCGACCAAATGCGCAATCCCCGTGCCTGGTACCCACCTCCAGGCCACGGGCGCAGCTAAGGCGCCACATGCGGACAAGCAAACTGCTTGCCTGCTGCAGCGAGCAGCCCTGATAGTTTGCCCTGTACGTGAAGACTGAGTACCAGGATACGGTACCCAGTGCCCACGCGTAGGGCAGGAGGGAGGAGGAAGAGGAAGAGGAAGAGG